TTAACAGTTTAAATCGCGAAATATATTAGTTAAACTTCTTTGGAAATTATTTTAACTACGGCCCGTACGTTTTAAACGCTTTGCAGCAGTCGTGGTCACGGGGAGACATAAAATAATTTTCAAATAAGTTTATTACTAATATATCGCCTTTTAAAACCGTTAAAGTGTTTTAATTGAATGTGTACTACTCTTTTCGTGAAAACCCCCGGTCTGCGTAGCTATAACAAAGTTCTGAAAATTAATTCCGAACGAGCAGTATTGTTGAAAGCAAGTTTAAATGATAATTTCTCCTCGTAAATTTCTAAATTCAACGAGAAGTCTAAGGGATAAATAATTGAGTTACCTCTGCAATATTACTTTTAATTAGTTCTTAAACTCGGAAATCATGTTTACGAAGGTTTAAGTTATTCTCTTCCAAAGCCTTCTCCGTAGATTTTTTAATTAATATTGAAATACTTTTTTATTAAAACAATTTCAACTCTTCTTCAAGTCTGTAGTTACGCGAATAGTACACATTTATAGAAAACACTTTAACGGTTTGAAACGCGAAATATATTAGTTCAACTTATTTAAAGTTCGTTTTAACTATGGCCCGTTCGGATTTAATAATAAGTAATAAAGTCCGTTTTTTTGAATTAAATGGGAGCACTCGTGACACATTGAATTATAAAAAATTAGAGCAATAGTAATATAATTCGTCCAGTACAAAACTGTAACGTTTAATAAAGGCAGCATACAATAGTTTTGTACTATCGGCAATCTATGTAAAAAATACGACTTTTCGAGTTTTGTATAATAATTAAGCATATTAGCTTACTTATATTAAATACATTTAATTGTTATTATAGTATTTAAATTTCATTTTATCTATACTTCTATACTAATATTATAAACGCGAACGTTACTTACTAAAGTGCCTGTCAGTCTGTCCGGCTTTAACTCCGAAACTACTGAACTGATGTAAAATGAAATTTGGTACATAGATATTTTAGAGCCTGAGAAAGGACATAGGCATATTTTTAATGCCAAATAGGGATTGAAAAAGGGGATGAAAGTTTGTATGGTAATTCGTGGCTTTTGAAGCTAGAACAATGAAACTTTCTACTTTGGTTTTTGGGAATAGAAGTGGGAGTGGGAGTGCGACTGAGAGGGAGTGTAGGAATAAGAGTAGGAGTTAGAGTAGGATCGTGTGAGGGAGTGTCCGGCAAATTAGCACATACAACATAGATTGGCTGCCCTAAATGCGCCCTTACATAAATTAATAAACAGCCTAAATAACTAAAAATTCTACCCCTAGTCACTATTGCACGCGGATGATATCGCGGGCACAGCTAGTTGTTTTATATACATTTGCAGTCTTTACTAACTTCTTGAAGCACTAATTGTATTTTATAATACTTCAATGAAATCACAATGAGTCAATTTTTGGAGACGATTCAAGTCGAATTTTCCTTTAAATTTTCACTGAAATGCTCTAATTAAACGAATTACCACTATGAGTCAACATTTCGCATATGTTTTTCTTAATTTTCCCCAAAGTCTTATTCGATTTTAATACAATACTATTTAAGTAGCTGATGGGATTGCAATAAATTCGACATTTTATGATGTTTTCTGTGTTCAAAAGATTTTCCTTCTGTACAAAGATTCAAATCACACAACACATCTTTCACACATGTACAATTGATCAAAATATAACATTCAAGTGATATTTTTTAAGAAAACGTTAAGACGTCGTTACGAAAACCGTCCGTTAAAAAACTTATTATATACGTTACTTTATATGTTCGTATAGTTTATAAATTGTAGATTTGCGACGTAAATTGACATCGGGCCCTGACCTATCACAATCGTAAAACCTATAAATAGTTATGGCGTGCTTTTAATACTTTTTGCACATGATACTACCAGTAAATGATACGTTTGTTTATCAATTGCTAGATGTCGCCGGTGAAGAGCGCAAGAGTATGCATTTTTTTTCGGTTGATTTTTATGGAAATATTGAATTTTACTCATAGAACTGAAACATTCATTAAAAATTGCAATATATTTCCCATAATTAGGAGCTTTACTTAGTTACAAAAATAACATTCTTGATGTCTGTGTTCTTGTACGCTACTGTTTAAATTTTAAGCGTTAAAGACTTCTTTAATACGAATTAAATAAAACAAATGATAAAAAAGATATATATAAAGATCCAATACAAATGATATAACCCGTTGAGACACAATTACAATTCTTTTAGAATTGATTAGACATATACCTAGTTGGTATTTTATATAAGGAAGCTAGCGACATCTCTGTTTTATCAGTTGCATTAATGTTTATTGTTTGTTTACAATCTGTGTTGATTAATTGCATCACGGTGCGTGACGCCTCGGCAGATGTCATTGTTTGCCAATTTGTGGTGGACTGCGACCGAATGCAATAGTAGTTGGATTGTAGAATACGTAAAGTTATAAACAATAACTTAGTTTTGTTTATTATTTGCTAAATGTGGTAATTTTCACTCTGTATGACTCGTTTTCCCGTTATTTTACTTTAAACAACGGCAACTTCGGCAATTTTACAAATTCGGCCATTTTAAGTCGTTCGGCTCGAAATATTATTAGGAGTCTGATCACAGATATGGTGCAATTGTTTAACATGTTTCATATTTCTCAAATTATATAATTAATTATTTGTTTCTCTTCATGTAATATTCGTGATCAAATTCCCGAATCGAACCCGTATCGTACTATCGATCGATACGACCTAGGCACTACGCGGTGTTCATCATTGACGTTTGGCTGTAAGAACTTAATAGTTTTCGAAGTATTGTACAATATGACGCAAAACGACTTATGAGTAGGTGATAATATTTTATGAGTCATAAAAATGATAACGGTGGAACTATCTTGTTATAGATGATGTGTTACTGTGGACACGTTTGTAATTCTTTACATATAATTAGACAAACTTCGTTGTCAGTCGGAGGTTTTGACCCTAATTTATTTAATTGAAAATAATGTGACGAAAATTGTTTGATATTTTGACGAACTTTATCACTGTTTTATTATTAGTGATGTAAGTGAGTGTTTATAAATAAAAATATTTAAGTTCTCTAATTAATAACAAGCTATCTGTTCATTATTTTGGACTTCTAACAATTTTATTTATTACGTGGTAATTCAGTAAAGTTATAAGTATTTGTAGTCGATTCAAAGTGTTAGTGTTGAAGCTTTGTCCTTGCTTCTGACATCTGTCATATTATACGAAAGTATGTAGCACAAAGACCTCAATAAAATACTTATTATAATATCCTTATCATATATTTTTTAAATAATAAGCGCAACTTATACTTTGTGAATTACAATCACTTCATGATGCACGGCCTTTGAGCAGACCATAGGGGAGTTAGGCAACTAGATTTTATCTTTTGGGTTCGCAATCCTAAAAACAGTATGCGTCACTGAGTATTTAAACGAAAGTAAACAATGAAAGTCGGCAATACGTCGGCTAGTGTCAAAACAACTTGTTTAATTTTAACTTTAAGTCTAATCAACGCGCCGCAGTAGATAACCTCGCGTTATCACTTGCGGTAAGATTTAACACTGCAATACGGTTGCGCGGTCTGATTGACCGATTTATATATAAACATGAACGGTTCTTCGTTCTACAAAAGTCTGCTCTACTACTAATGTAAATTATATCCACTAGAGAAACGGACACAAAAATGTGTACGTTCCATGTCCTACGAGGAACGGGATTTCACTTAATAATTGAAATGAGTTATGTATAGTTATCGTCGTAGTACCCTATTGTATTTTAATATGTTTGTCTGTTGTTGTTGTGAATACTTTACGACTAAATATCTATATATTTTCTGTTTTCGCAGCTTCTGCATAAAGAGGAGCGATAATTACATAGATTTAAAAAACATAAGGCTTCAAGTTATTCTACTATTCGAAATACCAAACTTACATAATTTTAGGTTATATACTTTCTTTACTTATTCTTAAGCTTTAGAATTTTTATGTCATTATTTTAGTATAAATGGTAATTGTTATAATCAAGCCGGAAATAGATTTTGTATTCAATTATACTGTCATATTGCATATAAATCATAACGCTTCAAGTAAAACTGGGCACGGTGCCTAGTTCATTATTTGAATACCTATCAAAAAGCTCAAATAAACCCATTATTCAAACAAATTTTCTTACCCAAAATATTCCTGGATGCATCCATACTTGGTGTCCATGTAGGGCCGCATAAATCATTCGTCATTATTGTTACTCAGATGGGAATACTTGAAATTGTTCTGAGTACTTTCGTGCACTTGGCTTTAATCCAATATCGAATGCGTTCTCGCAATAATTCATTGACTATTTTTGTAATATTGCACTTTTGTACTGGTGTTTTTGTATTTTTCAATTTGACATGTAAACACGAGTGAGGTAATGGTTTTAAGAGGATTTTATTTTTAAAGTAAGGAATTGTGAATAAGGGCCATTTAATTATTAAAGGGGATAAAGGCGATCTTTAACTATAAGCATTAACTTCTTTAACAGTTTATAATTTTTTTACACTTGTTGTATACAGAATACTTTTAATAATTGTAATAGTTACTAAACAGGTTAGAAAGGATTTTGAACACTAAACTATTTTTAATTTAAATTGAACCTAGTTATAATAATTATAATTCAGATACGACATACATTTATTTTATTTCACTGACCGGGTCGTTTAGACCGAGAACGGATTCCGTGGCTCTCATTAACAATAGCAGCGCGCGAGGGTTAAAGGCGCTGGGCGCTATCGCATTTTCCGGAGGCTGGGCCGAGCTTGCGGCCGGCGGCGGCAGTGCCGCATGCGCGCGCGCACCGAAAGCATGTGCTTCGCGCCTCCAGTGCGATGTACATAGAACCCGCCGCGTTCCGAGCGCCCAGCGCCGAGACCCTTGCGCCCAACGAACCCAACACCATCTGGACGCAGTGCTTACCGAGCCCCATTTTCGCAGGCAAGAAAGCACCTCTCAAGACCTACGAGGAGATACAGCCGCTGATCCAGCAGGGCCGCAAGCGGGATCTCAAACTCATCATCAGAGAGAACTCGTGGCCCATCAATAGCCCGATTCGCGCGTCCCTCTGGCCGGCTCTCTGCCGACAGCACCAACATGGCAAATCCATGCTCGACGGCTTCTACTGGGACATGGTTACGCAGGTCAGTACTACTCAATCATCCAACGAGTTAAGGTCGCCAATTATCGGTGTATTGTTCCCTCGGGGTCTTATCGTCGCGTTTTTATCGCCGCAAGGCTATATCTATTTACTTTGCGCCGCCCAAATGTTTGTGAGATATTGTTGCCCCCAGATAAGATGACGCGTCAAGGTCGAAGAACGCCGGCGTTTTTCATTCCACCGTACAATATTAATTTTGACTTTATCGGCCTAGAGATTAATCTCAAAATCCCCTGCCTAAATAGGTATGCTTGGCCAGTTTGCAAGCGTATGTGCAAAAATTATTAATAGACGGTAGGCTTCGTTGTAAGGAAAATAAATTCCAAAATTAGGGTCACTTATCAGCTCTATAATGTTTCGCTTCGTTTGTGTGTCGCTGTTATCAATTTCTCTGTTGATAATAAATCTTGATTGTTGTATCAGTCAGAAAACCGCATACTTTAGGCAACGTGTCTATGCGATATCGCTCTTCATTCGCTTCTAAATAGTAAATTAAACTTCTTTAAAAACATGACTACTCTTTGTGCTGTCGGATAATTAGTTATTGCACATCGAGCCTCTTTCACCGTCACACGATTCATTCAACCTTGCAAATAATATTATGCAACCTTAACAACCCAATGACTGTAGACACGTGCTTTTCCATTCACTAACGCTATGTAGAACGGATTATTGCTTATATATGTATGTCTTAATCTTTAAAGAGGTTTAGACTATTACAAAAAGAAAGAGCGCAAAAAAGAAGTAACGATTAACTTGACCAATATTCAATGACTATGATTAATTTATTTAAATTCAGCTTAATAATTTCTGGACTTGAAAAGCAGTTTAACACTGCTTTTCAAGTCCTAGAAGTCCAGAAGAAAAGCAGTGTTAAACATTTAGTATACGTCAGAATAAATTAATGGCTCCGGGCTAGCGAATCGTAATTCTTGTGTACTTCTCTAATTCTTCATAGAATATGTACCTAGTATACTTCAATCGATGTGGTCCTTCGAGCCGGACATGTCAGTCAAATCATACATACATATTATCATACCTTAGTGGTTTTAAATTTACAGTATTATGTACATATGTTTCTGTAAATCTACAATGTGGATTAAAATCTGTTTTGAATTGTAAACATTCCATGACCAGTGACCGCTAAATTCTGTGACGTTACTCTTAGAAACTAAGCCTCCGTGTACAATGCAAAGATTTTCATAATTTCATCACCTGATAGGTACTAAATCTCGGATGATTCATTATTTGAATGACAAAAAAAATCTACATCTAGTCTATCATGGTTTTATTAAAAAACATCATACACACTTTGTCATTCTATTATTAAGTAAAATTTGATGACCTTTTTACAAACCGTGTAATAGAAAAATACCATTAACACATTTCCAGTGGATGGCAGCTGCTATCCTATCCCTCCTCACCTCCCTTACCAAGCCCATGTGCATTTATAATTTTCCACCTGTGCGTGGGCACTACAAAACCCGTATAGTAATAAAACTCCTGAGTCCTTGCTTTCGACATCAACGCGTCTGACATCGCTTTTTGCATCACAATTACTCTTAACAATGGCCTAGCAATTGGACCGCAGGTGTTTATTACGTTTCTTTCGTCTCTACACACTGTATCTCTTGTTATCAATTAGCGTTATCTGTTACCATCCGTTTTAATTGTACGTGTTAATTGCTACCATGTGCTACCCATTTTGTTGTGATAATGTCATGGTTTTCATGGTAGTACAATTCACTAGAGCCGTGACGAAAAATGACAGGATGCAGCAATAAATGGTTCCTCTATTGTTTGTAACGGAATTTAAAATTATTTCATTATCGTATTTTATGAGTAACTTTATTAACATTTCTTGGATAAGGATCATTTTTATTTCGGGATTTTTTTTTAAATTAATTAGTTTAAAAAAAAAGAATTTAGTACAATTACGTAATATTTAAACGTTTCTTTTAAATTAAAGAACAAGTCATTAAGAAATATATACCTAAATAGAATATTTTTCTATTTCGTTTGTAAATCTAAGGAATTATAGGGGGTTGAAATATAGATATTCTGTCGGGTCAACTACCGTCCACTCATGAACTTGGGTAGATTCTTCAAGCAGAAATAGGTTTTTGTTTATGGGTTACTTCACCTTCAATTGAACCCCCCTCTTAAAAAATTTTTCCTTTCCTTTCTTTTTCAATAACTCCACGAGTTTCATCTTATCGTACATAAATTTTAGGTAATCACTTGTTTATACGCTATCTTGAGATAGAAGCGTTCTTTTCAAATTCATCTTCGTCATTCTAATCGTATTAAATTCGAGTGTTTGGCATTTCGTCAACTACTATGGCATAGTGCAAATGTTTACTCACAAATTACCATTGCTTATATCCTGTGAATGCCAAAATCACAAACAAAAATAAAACTCAACGGTTTAAAACGCAAACTATTTAATTAATTTGTAGGTTCTCGTATACTTATTGTTATTTATCGTGTAGATGCCACTTGCATATAACAGATACTATATATAATTAATTTTCGTTTTCTGCACAATACATTTTGTTTAAAAAAATTAATTAATTATTGTTCAATTAAAGCAGTAAGTTGAAGCTCTACTCGTTAAACTGCATCGATAATTTATTAAAATAAAAATGAAAGTATTTCTTATTTCTATAGATTCTAATTTTTTTTTAGATTTCATCAACGTACGGACGCATGTAGTCCAATACTTAAACCTGTGATTACAACATTCGCTTGGGATAATGTGTAAAGTCGAAATGGCCTGCTTTCCGTTGGGCGCAGTGTTTATTATTTCGGCGCACGCGGTTGGCACCGTGTCAACCTTTCGGCCGGTTCACCTTCAACACTCGCAGCCCATATATAAAACAGTATACCCGTTTGGTACTGTTTACTGGCCTGCGTTGCTCTGCAATGCAGTTTTTTGATGTTAATTCTTTTTCTACATGTAAATGGTGCGTTCGTTGCAAAATATTGGAATGAAATCAAGATAGAGAGCTTTTTAATGTACAAAACCTACCTACCACAGTTTATCCTATGTCATAAAGAGTAATTTATTTCACACAAATAAATAGGTTTTTTTAAACGCTAGATATTCATGTTCACATGAGAAAAAAAATGAAGAATCGTTTCAAATTTTGATTTTGCAATTTTCTAGGATTCTGTCACGTACATCAGTATTATTGCTTTGTGCAATTAAGATGTAAAGAAAAAAAATATTTTTAAAGATTTAAGTAGCTAACCATTGTTTAAACACTCGTAACATAGTGTTTTTATAGATGCTGTAAATATTATCGCCCTTATTGCCTGTAAATAATTCAACCAAAAAAAAGTATGATTTTACCGAGTTAAAAGTATTTTTATTTAACTAATAAATTTTGTCACTTATATCCGCGTCTTATTAATAAACAGTCCCAGTAATGAGCGAAGAATTCGTTAGCACCCACTTCCGTTCTGATGTAAACAGATTCCCGGTGATTCAATCGACAGGACTCCGCCACGTGGCTGTGACTTGTCGTGGCAAGGTAAAGGCGAGTTTGCCAACATTCCGGTTTTCCGAGAAGCACCGGAATAGCCGCATCCATTCCGGACCGGTGATATCATCGATTTCCTGTTCTCTCGCTTCCGACTATGTGGTCGCTAGATCTCTTTGTTTTGCGTCAGGGGTACATACCCCTGAGTAGAATTGAGAATTTATAGGGAATCAGCCGCTGTAGCATTTAGTTTGGTTCTAAACAAATATTCTAAGATGAGCGATGGGACATTTTTATTACATTTGGCATTTGCTCTAGTTTGTGAATATATTCTTCATTGTAGCTTTTTCTTAGTGACAGCGAGAATGCTTCAAGTTAGTAAAAAAGAAAAGTTAACGTCTGAAAACTTTAATATTTTTACATGCCATGCAATAAGGCACAAACAAATTATGATTGCATGCTGTCGGTTCATTACCTGCCCGTGTCGTTAATTGGTCCAATTTATAAACCATTTTTAATTTAGATAGAAAAGTTATTTTAAATTATTGTACCACTTGATTTGGTTGGTTAGCTAAGTGAATGAAGAAAAACAAATTAATCATAACGTGACACATCGAATTGTACATAGGCTGTAGTTAATTTTAGTTTTTTGTAATTAACTGAAAATCAACAATAGTGATACTGCATCACTGTTGATTTTCGGTTTAACACTATCGCTGTTGCTGCCATCGATCTTATAATAGCATCAATCGTTATCTCGCGCGAAAATTGCTGAGCGGCGTTTCAATGTCACAGTTTGAGATGAGTGGTATCACATTGTCACTGGTATCTGGTGTGGTGCCAACGACTCGGGCGCCTTGACCTCGGGGTCTATCGAACTGATCCGAGATACGCTGGAATGGGGAAGTGTTTCGGACTATTATTTATTTGGTCTATGAGGCTATATCGGGGTAGTGAATGAGCATATTTGCAGAACTGAAGTGTTCTCCTGATACACAAATATAAAAAGACACAATAGTAACTAACGTAAACTATGTAGGTCGTAATTATTTCGATTCGATAGTAATTCTGGTTTCTAGAGATGAAACAAAAATATCATTAAATTAGCTGACCGGGCAAACTTTATTTTTACATCTGTAGTATTTCGACGAAATTTGATTCCCATAAATGGCCTTTGTAAGTAAATCTTATAAGAAAAGATATATATATGTCGCGGAAGTTTCTTTTTGTTTATTTAAAGCAGTATAATTATTTCATACATTGTGATACCGTTTTTGCAGCGCACGGGAAAGCCTTAAAGACAAATATTTTTTCCACATTTCTCTCTGTTATTTCGCTCCTATTTATCGCAGCCTGGTGTTTTATAAAGCCTTAGGATTTCCTCACCAACACAAAATCCAGAAGTTGAGATTAGTGCGTCAAAAAAAACTCTTCAACTTTATAATATTAGTGTAGATTATAGAATGTTTAGCAAACTATACAATCGGCGGGGATCGAA